AAACAATTTTAATATTATAGAAAATTATTTAAATAAAATTAGTTTAATAATTATAAATTTATTTATTAATAATATAAAACTATTAGATTAAGTAGTTATAATATAAATATTAAACTTATTAGATAATAAATATATTAGATTTATTTAGAATATTATTTAGAATTTATAAAAGATTATAATAGTTATAATATAGAGAATATATTCTCTAGTTTTATTAATAAATTAAGAGGAAAATAAATAAAATAAAAATATTTTTATTATTAAAAATAATAATAAAAATAAGAAAAATAAAAGAATATATTATAATATACCTATTATAAAATAAAGAACTATATTAAAAATAACTACTATTTTTTTACTTTAAAAGTATTAAAAGTTAGGAAAATAAAAATAAAATTAATAAAATTATAATAATTTTTAAAAACTTTAAAAATAATAAAGAAAAAGGAATTTTTAAAATAAATTATTAACTATTTATAATAAAATAAATAAAGAAAGTAGTAATAAAGAAATAAAGAAAAGGAAATAAATATAATATAAAATCCCTAATTTAAAAGAGGAAAATTATTAAAATTTAATTTATAAGATTATTATAATAATAATATAAATTATAAAGAAGATATAGAGGTATATTTTATATATAATAAATTCCTTAATAATAATAATATTATTAATAAAAATTTAAACTATATAAATAATATAATATATATAGAAAATAATTTAAAATAAATAAAATAAAATTTGCTTTAAATATATATATAAATATATTTATTATAAAAATATAAATCTTTTAAGTAATATTAAATATATAAATATTAGTATTAATTAGAAATATTAATAAAATAAATATTAAAATAAAAGAGATTTAAAAATAAATATAAATAATAAAGATATAATTTTAAATAATATATATTATACTTTAAAATTTAATATAAATATATTAGGTTTTAAAATTATAAAGTATATATATAATATAATATTTAAAAATAATATAATAAAAGTAATAAATAGAGTCTTTAATAAAATAGAAATAATAGGTTATTATAAGAATAGATTACCTTATATTAAAATAAATATTTATATAAATATAAATAAAAATAAATAACTATTAAATATAAGTAAAACCTCTTTAACTATTAATAAAGATTTATTAGATATATATTTATAGTACTATAAGTTAAGGTATATATATATAAACCCTTTACTTATAATATTAAAAATAATAATATAAATATTAAATTTTTAAAGAAGATATAAAAGTACTACTATATAAGTATAATATATATTTAAAAGTTAAATATAATATTAAAATAAATAAAATAAGTAATAATTTATATAATTATAATATATTAAAAGAATATATAATAATATAGTTAATTTTTTAAAAATATTTATAATAATTATAAATATTATATATTATTTTAAATAAAAGATTAAATATTTATATATAAACTTATTAGAGTTTAAAGATTAAATATTAAAATCTTTTAATAAATATAAAAATATAATAGAAAATAAAATAAATAAAATAAAAATTTAATATTAATAATAATATTAAATATATTAATAAAAATTTAAAATAATATTAAATAATAATAATATTATATATAATAATACCTTTCTTTATATAAAAACCTAATAGTTTTATAGAAAAGGAATTTAATAATATTAAATAAAATAAGATATTTATTATTATAAATTAATTTACTATATAAATTATAAAAGGAAGCTATTATATTTAGTATATATTTATATAATATTATACCCTAAAAGATTTAAAATAGAAAACCTTATATAATTTATTATATAATTATAATTTACTTATAAATTATATTAAATTATAGGGATTTATAGTATATTATAATAATAATAAAGATAAAATAAACTAAACTTTAGAATAGAAAAAAGGTATTAATTAACTTTAATAAAATAATAAAATATATAAAATATATATTAATAATAAAATAATATAAACTAAAAATATAAATATCTTAAAAGGTAAATATATTATAAATAAAGATAATAATCCTATATTTAAAGAAAATAAAAATAAAATTATATAAAAATAATAAAAATAATAATAATAATAATAATAATAATAATAATAATAATAATAATAATAATAATAATAATAATAATAATAATAATAATAATAATAATAATAATAATAATAATAATAATAATAATAATAATAATAATAATAATAATAATAATAATAATAATAATAATAATAATAATAATAATAATAATAATAATAATAATAATAATAATAATAATAATAATAATAATAATAATATAATAAAATCTTATATAAATTACTACCTTATATTAAAAAAGGATTTTATAAAATATAAAACTTTATATACTATAAAAGATATACTATTAAATAATTAAATAATAATATTAAAAATAATATAAAACCTTATATATACTAACTATAAGTAAAATAAATAAGCTTTTAACTTAAAAAGGCTATATATAGAAGAAATACCTTATTAAGTAAAAGCTATAAAAATAAAGTTAATTTATTTATAAGTTAAAATATATATAATATAATAAATATAAATAATATACCTAATACCTATAAGTCTTTAAAGGGAAATAGGTATTTAAAAGAAATTTATAAATAACTTTAATATAATAAAGCTTTATTAGGTAACTAATAAATTAAATAATATATACTATAAAGCTTATTAAATAATATAAAGTTTTAATTAAAAATTAAGGATAGATTACTTAAAACCTTTATTATAGTTTATAAATTAAAATATAGATATTATTATTAATAATAATAATAAATAAAAACTATTATATATATAATTATAATATAAAAATATATTTTATACTCTAATATTAATAAAGAAATATATATAAAATTACCTTTTATATATATAAAAAGGTAATATAGAGTTATTAAATAAAGCTTTAATTTATAATATAAATATTTAGAAAAGAATTAAATAAATTAAAATTTAAATCCTACTTATAATAAAGGAATATTTATAAATAATAAAGAAAATATTATATTAATATATTATATTAATAATATAATAATAATAAATAGTAATAATAATAAAGTTAATAATATAATAAATAAAATAAAAGAAACTATAAATATAAACTATTAAGAAAAATTAACTTCCTTTTAGAAAATAATATAATAATAATAATAAAAGAAAACTCTAACTATAAACTAAAATAAATATACTAATAAAATACTTAAAAATTTAATATAAAAATAATAAAATATAAAACTTAAATTAACTCCTTTTACACCTAAAAAGAATTAATAAAAATATAAATTAAGCCTTAAAAATAAAATAAATAATTACTAAAAATAAATAAATACTATATTATATTTAAGTTTAAAAGCTATATAAATATAATATATTCTATATATAATTTAATTAAATATATATTTAATTTTAATAAAGAGTATTTTAAAAATTAAATAAGTTATAAAGATATATATTAAAATTCCTTAAATTATTTAAAATATATAAATATAATAAAAATTAAATTTATATAAATATTCTAACTCTAATTAAAGTAATAACTTAAATAATAAACAATTTATATCTAATTATATATTTATATTCTTTAAAAATAATAAAATAATTAACTTTATAAGTTATAACTTATAACTATAAAAATACCTATATTAAGTAGTTATAAAGCTAAATATATAGCTTTAAAAGAAGTTTTTAAAGAAGTTATATATTTATATAATTTATTAAAATATTTTAATATAAATCTAGATTTAAATCTAGAATTAAATAAACCTATTATATATATAAATAATAATACTACTATTAGTTTAACTAAAAATTAAGTTTTTATAAAAGACTAAATATATAGATATAATATATTATTATACCTAAGATTTAATAAAAGAGAGTTAATAACTATAAAATATATACCTTTAGAGAAAATATAGCTAATTAGTATATTAAACTAATTAAAAGACTATTATTTATTAAATTTAAAGATTTATATAATTTAAAAGAAAATTAATAATAAGTTTAATACCTCTATTTATTAATATATTATAAAATAAATAAAATAAAATATTATAATACCTTAAATAATAACTTATAAAAATAATATAAAATTAATAAAAAGTTAAAATAATAGGTTTTATCTTAATAACTTATACAGTATATATAAGCTATATACACTATATACACTATATATAGAATATATAGAAGTTAAGTATATAATCTAATAAAATTACTATATAAATGTAGTTTTTATAGATACTATAGTATAAATATAAACTTCTTAACTTAAATTATGAAAATAACCCTATAAACTATAAATCTATAAAGTAATATAATAATAATGTAAATAACCTATATAAAATAAATACTAAATAAAAATAAAATGTTTAAATTATAAGGGCTTGAGTTTAAATTATGCTTAAAGTAAATCTTTAAGATTTTTACCTATATAATAGTATATTTTTTCTATAATAAAGGTTTTTATTATTAATAAAAGTACTATTTTTCTTTTATAAAAGGTTTTAGTATAATAAATAATATATTTTTCTATATATTAGGTTTTATTACTATATAAAATAAGTTATTTTTTCTTTATAAAGGTTTATAACTTAATAAAAATAGTCTTTTCTTTAAAAATTAAGGTTTTTAACTATTAAATATTTTTATATATTTAATCTTATATATATATATAAATAAATATATATATATAGCTTATAGAGAGTTATAAAAATATATTTCTAGATAGTTAATAAAGAAATATTGTTTTTATATATATAATTACTAAAAATGGTTAGACTATAAAGGGCTTTATTAGATACAAGTATTTAAATACTAAATAAAGGATATTTAGTATATAAATAAAGGGGTGGAAAGCCTATTAGTCGATAGTTAGAATTTAACGCTATTCACACTCAAATTCTTAGAGAGAGATTGTCCCGCCATACCCCGACCGCGAGATCTGAATACTTTGTGAACTCACCGAAGACGAAATTATTGGTCATGTGCGGAGGAAGCGAGAGAGATCTTCACGACCCTCGGCGAATCGGCGCCCTTGCAGTGGTATGTGACAGGTCCGGATTAGAGCAAGACCTCTCTGGCCAGGTCGTGTTCTTCAACAATCTTGATTCTAAGAGCACGCTGGCTACGCATGTGAAGTTCGTGCCGTTTCATAGCCAGCAGATCCGCCACGACTTGAAGTTCACCATATTGTAAGCGATCAATCATCTCCCAGTTGATTGCCCTCTGGCCTTGCTCCAGTTCCAAGTTGCTAATTCTGGACTCTGTAGCTCCACCGGGGACTTGACAGTGCCCACCGCAGAGTGCAAGCAGATTGAGACCTTCACCCTCCCAATGACACTCTCCGATGCGCTGGAGTCAAGGTTAGCACAGCAGCTGCTACTCGAGGTCGGTGGTGATGGGGTCATCGGCAGGCGGATAGCAATTACCTTGCAGACATCCTCGGAGACGGGCGTGGCTGAAGGTATTGTTGGGTTCAACAGCGGCCCGGTTACCTCTGGCTGCATGAGCGCATGAGACATTGTGGACAGACCTACCCGCTCACCTAAGTCCCCTTGGAAGCAGTAACAATGGAAGTGGCTCCACTGCTGCCACACACACACACATGTGAGATGGCACCAATGGTGTTGGAGTTGGAGGCAGGACGGAGCGACATACGCTGCGAGACGGTTGCTGAGAGTCTGAGACGGTCACAGGGAATGTGTTGCATGGAGTACTCGGGATTTTGAATATAATTTAACACCAACTCTGTAGGCACTAGCAATGAAATTCAAGTTGAACCACTTGAACTCCAAGCAGTGTATGAATGCCCTACGGTACCGTAACGTCACAGCTGTCACTGTTGCCGATATACCATCGCCAAAGTCCTTTCGGTTTAAATCCTTGAAGTCAACATCCGCAGATCCAATTGTGTACCATGGATCTCCCCCAAAGCCCAGGGTTATATCTGAATTGTGTTGGGTCTGTAAGTTATGTATTGAGGAGCCAGGGTAGCTGCAAAAGAAACCACCGCTAAGTCCAAGTACTACCAAAACCCTTCATGTTAGCACCACGATTATTCCACAACTATATCATATATACTTAATTTCAATTATATTACTATCTTGAGAATAAGCTTTTGATTTAAATGGTATTAAAATATCATTAAGAATTTATGGTTGTAGGTAAAAAGTAGGTGGATAACTTCTGGGATCCTGATTCTGGTACACCAGCGGCGGTTTCTTTTGCAGCCACCCTGGGAGCTTGACTCGTGTTGAAGCCAGCCTGCCAGCCAATCAAGCCTGAGGAAGATTACCTGACTGGAGAGTGACGTCAGATTCCTGCATGCGTCAGTGCGAGGTGAATTAAAAGAAAGTGTACGGAGTACTTAACAGTAGATGCCTGACAGGTGGGAAGAGCTATTGCCTTAGGCCGCTATCGCTTATCGGCTAAGCCATCCATGGCCCAAAGTGGTGGCCGTGGCCTGGGTTGCCGGACGAGAGATTCGGCACCCCCCAGCAGGGAAAATGTCGCTCAGCATGGAGCCATCAACTTCCTAAATATGCTAGGTACCTACTTAGGTACCTAATGAAAGCCACCTGCCACTTTTCAGACACCATCACAGAACACACTTTTGATTAATTAATAATATTAACAAATACTTTATGGAAGGCATAAATCTGCCTATGCCTTCAGCTGGCAAAAACATGCAACTGGGACCCTCTGTCTTTGGACTGCAAGACGCTCAAAGTCTCTGAGTTGTGCGGTGCTGAGAAAATGGGTGCTCTAGCCTAAACAGTCATGGCGAGTGATCTATTTCTAGCTAGGGGGTGCTAGACTCCCACTGCTGGTTGGGGCCCTCAGGAATCAGCCTGGACAGAAATTTCAGAAGTCAGACCCCACCATCCCAAGGACCCAACTCGCTTCACTCTGTTCTCGGGCAAAAGCAACCTTTGAATCCTGACGGTGACGCCCCCCTCTTCCTCACATTTGCCCCTCCCCACCTTTTGGCTCTGGCTCTGCCGTGCACTTGAATTTGATTTGTTTCTCCAGTCCCAACCCCCGTGCCCACCACCACCAGGCCCGTAGCCATCTTTTTTCCTCGGGACCCGGGCAGCACTTGTTCCTATTGTTTTCCAAAGGGTCCAGTCCTAATCACGATACCTTCCCTTTCCCCTTGAACCCCTCTTCCGACCACCTCATCTCTCATTTCTTTATCTGATACCCTCTGGTACCCAGGCACGGTACTCCACATTCAAGATGGTATCGGCATCCAAGGAGAAGAGACTGGCCAAGCAGGCTGCCGAGGGCAAGGGCAAGAAGACCGTCGCCTCCAGGTCCAAGGCCGGCTCCAAGAATGCCAGCGCCGCCGGCTCTGTCAACGGTGATGAGACCCCTCCACAGCAGGTCGATGCCAACGGCAACCCCATCGAGTCTGACGAGCCCGCCACCTCTTCCTCTAAGATGGGCGAGGTCCAGCGTCTTGCCGAGCAGATGGACAAGTACGGCATCTCTGACCGTGTCACCACCGGCGTCCTCTCCTCCGTCGCCTCCAGTCGCGACGTCAAGATCACCTCCACCAGCCTGGTCTTCCACGGCCGCGTCCTCATCACCGACAGCACCCTCGAGCTCAACTTTGGCCGCCGCTACGGCCTGCTGGGCGAGAACGGCTGCGGCAAGAGTACCCTGCTCAAGGCCATCGCTGCACGCGAGTACCCCATCCCAGAACACGTAGACATCTACCTGCTCAACGAGGGCGCCCCGCCCAGCGACCTTGGCGCCCTTGAGTGGGTTGTCAAGGAGGCTGAGAACGAGATGGCCCGTCTGGAGAACAAGGCTGAGGAACTCCTCGAGACCGAGGGACCCGACAGCCAGGTCCTGATGGACCTTTACGATGTGCGTTTCCAAACACAACACTGAGCCCTTGCTTTCCCCTCCCTCCCCCCTCCCCTTCCCGGGCCCCTGCCTGCACACCCTGCAGACAACCAAGTTCGGCTTGTGACTGACATGTATATTACTTTAGCACATGGACAAGATGGACCCCTCGACCTTCGCCACCCGTGCTTCGCTCATCCTGACGGGTTTGGGCTTCAACAAGACCACCATTCACAAGAAGACAAAGGACATGTCTGGTGGCTGGAGGATGCGTGTCGCCCTCGCAAAGGCCCTGTTTGTCAAGCCCACCCTCCTGCTTCTTGACGACCCAACTGCCCATCTGGATCTTGAGGCATGCGTGTGGCTCGAGGAGTACCTGAAGAAGTGGGAGCGCACGCTGGTGCTCGTCTCCCACTCCATGGATTTCCTCAACGGTGTGTGCACCAATATGATCGACATGCGCGCAAAAAACCTCCTGTACTACGGTGGTAACTACGATTCATATGCCAAGACCAAGAGCGAGCAGGACACGAACCAAATGAAGGCCTACCAGAAGCAGCAGGATGAGATTGTCCACATCAAGAAGTTCATCGCTAGCGCTGGTACCTATGCCAACTTGGTGAGGCAGGCCAAGTCGCGACAGAAGATCCTGGACAAGATGGAGGCCGATGGCTTCATCCAGCCCGTCGTCCCGGATCGTATCTTCAGCTTCCGCTTTGCCGATGTTGAGAAGCTGCCCCCTCCCGTCCTGTCTTTCGACGACGTCACCTTCTCGTACTCGGGCGACCCGAAGGATGACCTGTACCGCAACATTGACCTTGGTTTCGACATGGACTCGCGGACGGCGCTGGTCGGCCCCAACGGTGTGGGCAAGTCCACGCTGCTCCGTCTCATGACCGGCAAGCTCTCCCCGACCGCAGGTACCGTGAGCAGGCACACACATCTGAAGCTGGGCATGTACTCGCAGCACTCGGCCGAGCAGCTGGATCTGACCAAGTCGTCGCTCGACTTTGTGCGAGACAAGTACCCAGACCGCTCCCAAGACTACCAGTACTGGCGCCAGCAACTCGGCAAGTACGGTCTCTCTGGCGAGTCCCAGACGGCGCTGATCGGCACACTGTCGGAGGGACAGAAGAGTCGTATCGTGTTCGCCCTGCTGGCCATTGAGAGTCCAAACATGATCCTTCTTGACGAGCCAACCAACGGTCTGGATATCCCAACCATTGACAGTCTGGCAGAGGCCATCAACGCATTCACCGGTGGTGTCATTGTCGTCAGTCACGACTTCAGGTAAGCACGCAGCCCTGATCCACCCTGCACTCGCGCAACATGTAGCTGACACTCTGCGATAGATTACTGGACAAGATTGCAAAGCAGATCCTGGTTTGCGAGAACAAGAGTATCAGGCCATGGGACGGCACGATCGGCGAGTACAAGAACTACCTGCGCAAGAAGATGTTGGCGGCTGGTGCGGTCTGAGTGTAAGCGAACGGCGTGGGCGCATTGCCAGCAGAGTTGCCAACAAAAAGAAAAAGTGGTGTTGTGTAGGAGACAGAAAGAGACTCCATTCCTACTGGGGACGGGGTCGAGTTATAGAAGGTGTGCCTGCATGCTAGCATCCCAAGGGCCTCTCGATAGAATGGCTGATGCACTGGGTGGGCCTCCCCCGAGCAGTGGAGACTGGCCCAAGGAGGCATAGGGATGGATGGGTATCTGCATTGGGAACCAAGGGGCCGAGCGGCGTCGTGCTGCAAAACAGAAGAAGCAGCGCGAGGACCGCTCGAGGCGGCCTCCAGATGCGGATTGGGGTAGGCGTTTCAAATCTGAAATAGATGTTCTCAGCACAGAAAGGTATCTCCGAGTTTACGTCCTGGAATGCGAAGAATGATTTGAGTAGCAGTAGCAGTAGCAGAAGCAGAAGCAGAAGCAGATGACGGCCGGCGCGCTCAGGGCCCAGCAGTTCTGTCGTACATATCGACTGGGCACCTGTGCAAGTGTGGCTACTAGACTGCCATCTATTCACAACTAGGTGGGTTATAATATAAGGCTGTCCAAGGTGCCACAGAGCACCTGTGCCCCCTGACAAGGCTGGGTGTCCCCGGCCCCCGGTTCCTGGCCAGGCCGGCCAGTGCTGCTGTCTGGGGCAGTCTGGCAGTCTGGCAAGCCTGGCAAATCTGGGAGCGCCAGTGAGCCTCAGCTTGGGCCCCGATCTAGCTCCATTCCGGAACAGCGTACCGTTCCCCGTCCCCCGTCCCCACCGCGACCTCTGGGACTCGATCAGATGCTAGCCGCTGACAATGCTGGGGAGGTACTCCGTAGACCTGTTTGTCTGCCTGGGGGAAGAGAGACGAACGAGAAACAGCACAGTCAGTCAGAATAGTCAATGAAGTACTCCGTAGTGGCCGTTGCTGGCCCGTCCTCCCCAGGGCGTCATTAACCCACACACCCCACACTACACCACACCACACCAAGGGTGCAGCTGCGGACAGCATCGTCGCCCCAGACAGCTGTTCACGACGACCTTGCCCATCAGTCCAGCCATGCCGTCCGTCCCTTGATGATGCTGCCCTTGTGTTCCGCATCTGCATCGTGATGAGGTCACCTGTGCAGTCCATGATTTATCTACCGCGTTTCGTATAATTGCCTCAGCGTAGGACTAGAAACTCTGCTGCAGCTCAGCCAACCTACCTGGCAGCCTGGCAGCCTGGCAGCCTGGGTAGCTCCCCAGCCCAGCCGGCCGCAGTCCCTTGTCGTGGGTGCTCGGTAGTCACGGCTAGCCCAGCATTGACACTGCAGTGCAGTGGTAGGCCGTGTTGCCGCGCCGATAGCAAGCAGCACGTCACGGCAAGCAAGGCACACGGGTGAGGGCAGAGAGAGAGAGAGAGACCAGGCAACGAATGTAAAACCAACGGACGCGAGAAAAGCTTGCGTGGTAGTTGATCAAGCCGCTCGTTCGCAGGCACTCGGGCCGGCGAGATTTACGGGGCAGGGCAGGACAGGACCAGACACCGAGATCGATTGCGACTCTCGATTCTAGATTCTGCGCTAGCCGGCACGAGATCCTCTCCCTCGTGCACACCCACCACCCACACCCGCACCCGCGCCCGCGCCCACGCCCACACGACTCGACTCGGGTCGAATCGACACCAATCGACCTGAGGTGATCTGACCCATCTCATCCCCATCCCATTCCTCCTCCTCCACGGCCGAACCGAACCGACGGTCCCGCTCACCACCACGCCCACGCCGCAATCACTTCTTCAACACCAAGCTTCGCCCACCCGCGATACTTGCCACCCACCCCCCGAAACCATCGCCCTTCATCAACCCGCCTGAGGTGTCCCTGCTCCTGCATGTCGACCGCCATCAGTTGACATCAATTCACCGCTTGGCATCGCCTCAACCAAGCACACACCGTCCCACACGCTGTTTTCCTCTGCCTGCCTGCCCGCCCGTCCATACATAGGTCGGTTTGCCCGTCTGTCCGTCAGTCCGCCAGTCACTCGGCCGGCCGGTCGGTTAGTCAGTCAGCCAGCCAGCTGCAGCTAGTCACCTTGTCCATCAGTCAGTGACGCACGGCGTCCAGGTCGATCTCGAGCCTGGCCCAGCTGCATCCTCGTCAACTCGGCAACTTTTCCAACACATGGTGCGGATGGGTTGTCTCTGGCATCCCAAAGACAGACAAGACAGGAGAGATCTGGTGCCTGCTCTCTAGAGCAGGGCGACGGAAGGATCAATAATACTGCCAGCCCGACCACAGCTGCGGAACAGCGTAATAGGAGGAAGCGCAGCCACCCGAGTTCAGGATGGAGTCAAATTTCCACTCGACGGTGCTGCAGAGACCGCCCAGCCTGCACGACTACGAAGACCAGCAACGCGACCGCGACCGGGAGCGGGAACGAGAGCGGGAACGCGGCAGCAGCGAGCGGCGACACCGCGACATTCTCAACCCGGTCCAGCACGGAGACAACACCAACCCCCAGCCTGGGTCGAGCTCGCATGCGTCCGGGCAGCAGCAGCAGCAGCAGCAGCAGCAACATTCGCAACATTCGCATCAACCGCCGCCACGGCACTCGTTCAGTCTGCGGTCGCCCACCCAGCCCGACTTCCACCACGCGGCGCCGCCTCACTTTCCGGGCTCCAGCTCTGCCTCTCCCTCGTCAGCGCCATCCGCCAGTGCCGCTGCAAACACCAACGCCAACGCCAGCATCAGCACCAGCACAAATGGGACCGGCTCGGGCACCCGTTCGCTCCTGCACAACCCATTCCTGACCTCGTCGTCCGCTGCGCCGCCATCACTCCCGCCACCAGTCCACCCGTCAAGCATCGCACCTCCTCGCTCACCCCTACACGCGCCGCCAGTCTTTTATCCCCAGGACATGCGCGAACACCGCGACGCCCCGCGAGAGAAGACGGCCGGGAGCTTCTACGACCCAACCACCGACACCACCACCTCGACCAGCGACCGCAGGGTGAGCGACTCGGGCCCCGCCTGGCACAGCGCGCCGCAGACTTCATCAGCATCGTCAGCATCAAAGGTAAGTAAAAGATCAGATCAGATAAGCCCCTCAAGAGATACAGATAATCCCACCGGGCAATCAGTCCCTGGCGCATGAATGCTCGCTGCTCGCTGCTCGCTGCTTGCTGCTTGTTGCATCGCTGCTGGTGCGCTGGTGGCCGGCAACACTTTTCTTTTTGACGGGTGCCAATGCGTCCGGCACACGCCAGACCAACGCCCCTCCAAACCGCGCCATGTTGGCAGGTCTGACCAGAAGCAATGCCACCGGGCCAAGTGGCCCATTCACTGCATCACAAGACTATCCCATCGTCAACTCATCCAAACTCGTCAATTTCTTCCGTCCTCCAGGAAAAGAAAAAATCGCAATCCCATCGCACACTCCCCCCCGTCTTTCACGGTCTTTGACGTCGTGATCCATCCACCATCGTCTTTGTCAACCTGCACGCCAAATCGCACTCCCACTTTGTACTTGCATCCATCACCCGCAGGCATCTGCTAACCAATCTTACTCCGCCCTTTGCAGCCTCGCGATGCATTAAATAGGGACTACGATTATCCCCCGCAACCATCCGTCGATCGTTCTCCCTATTACAAAGGCAGCTACACTTCTCCTGTCGCCACAACATTCCCCCCGCGAAGCCCGGTTTCTCATTCCCACCCGGCTGCAGGTTCCATCAGCCCGCCAGCTGGAGCTCGCGCGATGGCATCACCCAACGTGCTCAAGTCCGCCCTGTCAGCCGGCACCACTTCAAATGGCACCTCGGTGCAACACTCGCCACCTGCTCCTTCTGTGCTCCAAGCACCCGCACCCCCCACAAGTGTAAGCAAGCAATCCATGGAATCCCCCCCGCCCCCTTTGTACCATCCGCTTTCTGACTGTTATTCGCCCCAGACCCCCAGCCGGAATGTCATGTCCTTCGACAACATACTTTCTAGCGCCGAAACCGACCTGAGGCCACGGGATCCATCACCCCCTGTGAATGCTTCGGAGCCTGCTGTGAAGGAGGAGAAATCAGACGAGCCCGAGAAAGTCGAGCGAAAGAAGCCCGCCAGGAAGCCCAGGCAGCCCCGGGTGTCGGACATCAAGAACTCAGAGCCCTCGTCCAAGGGGAGCTCAAGGCGATCGTCTTCTCAGAAGGAGAAGGAACCACCAATCGCAGCCCGCGTGCCAGCAAAGCGGACGGCGAATGGCCAGCCCAAGCAGGGCGGCTTCTCAGCGAGCAAGGAGAAGAAGATCAAGGACCAGATGGACCAGATGGATCAGATGGACATTGACCCCATCGATGGCGACTGGTTTGATGCAGACGAGGAGCGGCTCGCCTGGCGTCAACGAGCACAGAGGCGCCGGCGTGCAATGGAGGGTCGGGAGGACAAGCTCCACTCCTCACGCAGGTCCAACCTGGCCAGGGACAGCATTTTGCACTTGACCCTTCACACAGACCTGGGCAAGCGCAGGTATGATGACATGTTCTACGACGACGCGTTGCAAAAGGTGCGGGACCAGGAGGTCATCGCCGAGAAGGAGCGAAAGAAGGACATGCAACGCAAGCGCCGCCGCGAGAAGTCCATGGCAGTTACTATCGAGCAGAAGGAAACGGCCCTTGCAAAGGCCCAGGCAGCCGAGCTGGCCGGCGACGAGGCTGAGCGCATCAAGCACCTCCGTGAGGCCGAGCGTGCCAACAAGAAGGCACAGCAGACAAAGCTTATTCTGCAGAAGGGCATCAAGGGGCCAGCGCGGAATCTGCCCCCCATCGAGGTCAACCTGGAGGGCGGCGTCATGTCGACATTTCAGGCAAGCGACATGGAGCCCGGCAAGGGCAAGGGCAAGGCTCGAGGCGGCCCGCGGCCGAAGAAGTCCAAGGAGCAGAAGCAGGCCGAGAAGGATAGTGCACTGGCTGCCCAGGCTGCCCTGGACGCCGGTGAAGCGCTGCCATCCAAGGAGGAGACGAACAAGATCCGCATCAGGCTCAAGAAAGATAAGGTCCCGAAGGAAGACGCCACCAAAGACCCAGAAGCAGTCACAGAGCCAAAGGAGCCCAAGGAGAAGGAGAAGGTCGTTGAGGAGCCCAAAGACCCACTCGAGACCAAGTTCCAGACCAAGGGCTTCAACCAGATTTACGACCAGATCTGGCGGGACCTTGCTCGCAAGGATGTCAACAAGGTCTACAGGCTTGCCACCGAATCGTACGGGACCAAGGCGTCCAACCTCAAGAAGACGGCCATTCTCGCATCCAAGGAGGCCAAGAGGTGGCAGATGCGCACCAACAAGGGCACCAAAGACCTGCAGGCTCGCGCCAAGCGTGTCATGCGAGACATGATGACCTTCTGGAAACGTAACGAGCGTGAAGAACGTGACCTGCGCAAGGCCGCCGAGAGGCAGGAGCTTGAGAACGCTCGTAAACAGGAGGCGGACCGCGAAGCCGCTCGGCAGAAGCGGAAGCTCAACTTCCTCATCTCCCAGACGGAGCTGTACTCTCACTTCATCGGCAAAAAGATCAAGACACACGAAGTCGAGCGCAGCACCGACAATCCCGACATTGCCGCCGAGGATGCCGCCCCGGACCACAACGCTGTCGACATCGACGACGACGGCACTGCCGCGTCGGGCGTCAAAGTCACCAAGTTCGAGAACCTCACCTTCGAGGAGGAGGACGAAGAGAAGCTCCAGGCGATCGCGAAGGCCAACGCTGCGCATGCTCTGGCAGAAGCTCAGCAGAAGGCCAGGGACTTCAACAGGGATGATGAGCCTGATGAGGACGGAGAGATGAACTTCCAGAACCCCACGGGCATGGGCGAGGTCGACATCGAGCAGCCGAAGCTGCTCAATGCCCAGCTCAAGGAGTACCAGCTCAAGGGTCTCAACTGGCTGGCCAATCTGTACGAGCAGGGCATCAACGGCATCCTGGCCGACGAAATGGGCCTCGGCAAGACTGTGCAGTCAATCTCGGTCATGGCTTATCTGGCGGAGAAGTACGACATTTGGGGCCCATACCTGGTCGTTGCCCCCGCGTCGACCCTCCACAACTGGGAGCAAGAGCTGCGCAAGTTCGTTCCCGAGTTCAAGATCCTTCCGTACTGGGGCACAGCGGGTGACCGTAAGACTCTTCGTAAGTTCTGGGATCGCAGGCACAACACGTACAAGAAGGACGCCAGCTTTCATGTCATGGTCACGTCCTACCAGCTTGTCGTGTCCGATGTTGCCTACTTCCAGAAGATGAAGTGGCAGTACATGATTCTCGACGAGGCCCAGGCCATCAAGAGCTCATCAAGCTCCCGATGGAAGTGCCTGCTGAGTTTCCACTGTCGAAACCGTCTGCTGCTGACTGGCACCCCTATCCAGAACAACATGCAGGAGCTTTGGGCCTTGCTGCACTTCATCATGCCCTCGCTGTTCGACTCGCATGACGAATTCAGCGAATGGTTCTCCAAGGACATCGAGTCTCACGCGCAGAGCAACACGAAGCTCAATGAAGACCAGCTCAAGCGTCTGCACATGATCCTGAAGCCCTTCATGCTTCGCCGCGTGAAGAAGCATGTCCAAAAGGAACTTGGCGACAAGATCGAGACGGATGTCTTCTGTGACCTCACGTATCGCCAGCGGGCTTACTACAGCAACCTGCGCAACCAGATCAGCATCATGGATCTGATCGAAAAGGCCACCACCGGTGATGACACGGACTCTGGTACATTGATGAACCTTGTCATGCAGTTCCGCAAGGTTTGCAATCACCCCGACCTATTCGAGCGCGCAGAGACAACATCACCATTCTTCACCGGGTACTTTGCCGAGACGGCGTCATTCATCCGCGAGGGCAACAACGTGCCGGTGGCGTACTCGACGAGGAGCTTGATAGATTATGAGCTGCCCAAGCTTGTCTGGAGGGACGGTGGCAGGTTGTATAAGGCCGGAAGCGACAACCAGAAGGCCGGGTTCCGCAACAGGTACCTGCAACACATGATGAACATCTGGACACCAGACAATGTTCGCGAGAGCCTCAGCGGCAGTGACGCCTTCTCATGGCTGCGCTTTGCCGATGCAAGCCCTCAGGAGGTGTACAACGCAAGCCATCAGGATGTATTCACCCGCGCTGTTGAGCTGTCGAGACAGAAGGACCGGCTGGCATACATGAATGTCGCCTATGACGAGCCAGAGGACCAAGGCTTCAGCCCAGCTCACGCACTTTTCCAGATCAAGCAGCGAAATGACCGCAAACCGCTGGCCGACATCACGGACAAGGGCATCATGAGCAACCTGATGAATGTGGCTCGAGAGACCTACCGTGACGCCGGGTTCGGCCACCTTGAGCCCGCTGGTCGTCCTGGGGCAGCCGCGCCACCAATCGATGTGGTTTGCAACAGCCGCGGGGCCAATATTGAGCGGGAGGAGACGCTCTTTAATGTCCCGATGCGAAGGGCGTTGTACGAGCCCAATCCTGAGGAGCAGCTAGCCTTTATCACGCAGAAGATCCCCAACGAGAACATACCCCCATACGGCTTGTTACCGGCCCCGGACAACGAAAAGAAGCGCTTCACAAATGTGAGCGTACCGTCAATGCGGCGCTTCGTCACGGATTCCGGCAAGCTTGCCAAGTTGGACGAGCTGCTCTTCAAGCTCAAGGAGCAAGGCCACCGCGTGCTGCTGTACTTCCAGATGACGCGCATGATTGACCTGATCGAGGAGTATCTGATGTACCGCAACTACAAGTTCTGCCGACTTGACGGCTCCACCAAGCTCGAGGACAGGCGTGACACTGTGCATGACTTCCAGACGCGGCCCGAGATCTTCATCTTCCTGCTGTCCACCCGTGCGGGTGGTCTCGGCATCAACCTCACGTCCGCGGATACGGTCATCTTCTACGACTCGGACTGGAACCCCACAATTGACTCGCAGGCCATGGATCGCGCCCATCGTCTCGGCCAGACCAGGCAGGTCACGGTGTACCGCCTCATCACCCGCGGCACGATTGAGGAGCGGATCCGCAAGCGAGCTCTGCAGAAAGAAGAAGTGCAACGCGTTGTCATCTCGGGTGGTGGCACTGGTGCTGGTGTCGACTTCTCCGGTCGTAGGACGACTGAGAACCGCAACAAGGACATTGCCATGTGGCTCGCTGATGACGATGACGCGGTGGAGAAGATGATCGAGCGTCGCGAGCAGGAGCTCATGGCCAGCGGCGAGTATGAGAAGAAGAGGAAGGGCGGCAGGAAGAAGAAGGATGCCGTCTCCCTGGACGACATGTATCACGAAGGTGAGCCAAGCATCTTTATAGGTCACTGGAAGAGTCACTGGAAGCTAACGATTATTCTCTCCCAGGCGAAGGACACTTTGACGACAACAAAGCGTCGGGGACGGCGACCCCGATTGAGGCGCCCGCAGCACCTGGCAAGAAGAAGGGCAAGGGCTCCAAGAAGGCTAAAACAGCCAAACAGCGTCTTGCTATTGCTGACGGCGAGGTTGATGCATAGACGATCCGCCGACCGCCCAACCGCCTGTTCGGGCTGCTTGCTTTGCGTCTTGATCGGAGTTGGTATGTTGCAGTCATATACGCACGCCTGCACATGGCTTGTTTTTCTAGGCAGTTGAGTTCCTTCTCGCACAGGGTTTCATGACTGCCAACAAAAGAATTGGAGAGGGGAGAGGGGTGAATCTCCCAGCTGCAAAATCTTTTTTCCTCTTTTTTTTTGATTTGCACGGGACGGGATAGCTCGGCCGGTTTTCACAGGCATTATCAGTCATGGGGCAAAAGAATGACCGAGGGGCTGGCAGCGAAGTTTAGATGAAGATGCGTCGTAGCGGGCTTGAATGAGGCGGCTCATGCCGCGCTACGTCACGAACTGTACCACTAGAAGAATAATAGACAGACTAGGCGAAAACATTGGCGGATATCAAGACCAGAGATTCCCAATAGTAGTTAGTAGTGGTAGTAGTTAGTTGGTGAGCGCACCCAGACTCAACTGCACCCAAGACGGCCGTGAAGCTTAGTATAAGCAGTGTAAAAGGTAACAAGGGACCATGATATTGCCGTGACAGACGGGATACGCAGTTGTGCGGCGCCGCGGGAACAGCGATCGACGCCCTCCGTGAGCCTCTGCCGGACCTCTAAAGAACAAGAAATAACAAGCAGGTAAAATGCGCGGACGCACGGTTAGATTGCTCTTGCCATGTGCCGCAGCAGGGCAGACCAAGTCGCCTCGGCGCTCGGCAGGCCCCCTACAGACTCGCAGCCAGCGCAAGCACGCCGGCAACCAGGGCGCCGGCGCCGCGCACGTAGTTCATCCACCACCACCGCCTCAGCAGGGCCTCGACGTCCGCCGCCGACACCTTGTCCTTGGCGCCGACCTCGCGGGCGATGCCGATCAGCCTCTGGTTGACGGGCATGATGACCAGGCGCGTCCAGGCCAGGGTGGCCACCACCAGGCCCGCGGCGGCGGCGAAGGCGGGCCGCCTGGCCAGGCCCAAGCCCGTCGTCCCCAGGGCGCCGGCGGGCGAGGGCGGGGACGAGCTATAGGCCAGGTAGCTGAAGGAGAGGATCCCCGCTGCGGCCAGGGGCACGACGGCCCTGAGGCCGTCGTGGTACAGGCGGTCGAAGATGCGCGTGGCGGCGTGCTTGTCCAGGCTGTACAGGTGCGGCACGAACAGGTACGAGGTGCTGATGTTGAAGCCGGAGACGAGGAGGGTCGAGGTTATGCCCACGAGGCTCGCGGTGGAGCGGAGGGCCGGGCTGGTGGTGTCGGCCATTGTCTGTCTGTCTGTACGGTCACGGGTTCGGCTGCTATCTCTGGCCTATTTTCGGTGCAGGTTTGATGTGCTGTGATGCGGTGTGATGTGATGTTGCAAATGCCTCAGTCTAGCGTGCGGGAGAAGAGCCGGGACTCACCCTGGGATCTGACACACCTCGATAGTCGTCCAGTCCAGGTCTTGATGGCTGAGCGGGCGCTAGGACTAGTCCACATGCGATGGCCCATTGACCTGTACCAGGACTTGCCGACGATGCCTTGGGCGAGCTCGCATGAACACCACTCACTCACTCACTCACTATCTGGTTCCCTACAACCGCCATGTAGACTGTTTGAGACTCTGTGCTGCACCGACCTTGGTGTATGTAGCCAGCCTCGTGTTGGGCACGATATGTTTCAAGCAAAAATGCCGCTCGCAGAGACCGTTCCTGCTCTTGTTCCTTTGTCATTGCTCTATTCAACTAGGCGGTAAGTAACCGTGGTTTCTGCCTCTGGCCAGGCCCTTGCCTTGCTTCCGCGCAGCCAGCCTAGCCCCTTCTCCCCCGACTCGTCCTGTCGAGTTTGGGGCGGTGGTCGAGCGGTCCCAATCAGTTGTGCCACCACACTCCCGGTAACGAGCGACAACCATGGGGTATCCAAACATATCTTTTGGTTCTGCCGTCCCTCGTTTTGCCGTGCTGTTGCCGAGGAGTCCTCGTGCTGTCAAAGCGAAGTGCTGGTGCTGATCGGGCGTACCTGAGCCCATAGTGCGTGGTCCCTTGTAATCCCAACGCACGCCGTCCCCTATGTGACCGGATAGTTTCGTGTTCCGTGATCCCCCCCGGGAATTCACCCGCTCATGAGATCTCCATCTTCTCCAGCGCCTCCATGGCCGCGTTCCTCTCCGTCTTGAGCTGCTTCTTGGAGCTCTTGTCCTCGGCGTCTGTCTCGACCCACATCCGTCAGCACTGTCCCCTGCCTTTTCTCTCATGACATCAAGGCAATCCGGGACCTACTCACCCTTCATCCCGACCTGGGACTGCCTTTCCTCCTCATCCCGCTTCCTCCTGATGGCATGCGCCATCTGCTTCTCCAGCTTGCGGGCCTTCTTGCGGCTCAAGGGCCGGTTGGGCCCGCTGGTGGGGAGCAGGCCAGATCGTGCGCCGCGCTTCGTATCGGCCTTTGCGACGCGGTCGGGCAGGCGAGCCGAGGCGGCGGCTTGCTGGGTGTGCTTGCGGGCTTTGGCGCGGAGGGCTCGCTGTCGGTTGCGCGAGATGCAGTTTGGGTTTTTGACGGATGCGGACGGCATCTTGTCTGCGTTTCCTCGGGTCGGTCGGTTTGAATGGATCGGCGGGCTTGGAAAAAGGTTGCGATTGGGGATTGGGGCTTGGTAACTTGGTGGGTGCTGTGTAGTATTCAAAAGCGGCGCAACGAGCACTCGAGGCGGTGGAATCTTTTTGGCGGGTCCCAAAAGCGATAAGCGGCTTATCTGGGGTGCGAAGTACCCCGTACCTCGGTACAGCATGGCCCACTCCAAAATCCGCAATGCTTGATATTCTCGATTGATTTTGATTTGAGGCGGCTTTTGTAAATCTATTCATTGCATAACCATGAGATCTCCTTGCTGAAGCGTGTAAAGAAACAAGTCCCGGAAATAGACACAAGATGACGGCCAATGCTGTTTGCTCCCGTAACGCCCCCCATATGCTGTTTGATAATACGTGTGCCACGGCACACCTCCTCACTGCTACCAGAGAAAGAAGGGAAGAAAATAGACAGCCGTCGCTCGGTGCGCGTGTGTAGGCCCTTCTACCACTGCCACACCTGCAGGATCTCCGAGGCGGTGTGCTGTGATGGGTCGCTCGCTAAGCAACCCGATCGTTGTTCCTGCCCACCGTGCTGGGGCTCGACAGTCCCTCTCCATCTTGGTCCACATCATCCTTCTCCTCCTTCAGAAGCTTGCGCCGCTGGGCCTCGTCCTCATCCTCGTCGCTCATCATGTCATCCAGCTCAAACTCCTCGGCGTCCCGCAGCCTGCGCTCCTGTGCTGGAGCAAGGGTGTGCCCGTTGGAGCCCTGTGCATGGCCGTTGACCCCCTTGGTGTACCCATTCAGATTCACGCCGCGGTCAAAAATGTGTATGAGCACATTGGAGAAGAGGAAGGTGATGAAGGCGAGACTGTAAAGGATAAGGACGTAGGCGACGTGGTCGATCCCAGACGAGTTGACAAGGAGCATCTGTTCCTCGGTGGCGCCCATGAACAAGAAGCCGGACGCGTAGAGAAGCTGGTGGGAAGCAGTCATGTCAGCACCAGGCTATATGAAGGCACGTCGCGTCAGGAGGGGGGGTAGGACACTTACAAACACGGGGATGTACTGGAAGCTGTGCACCTCATAGCCGTCGTCCGAGATGCCCACCTTGCCCTGGAGCACAAGGGAGACCTCGATCATGCGGGTGAGCCCGACGGACATGAGGGTGTAGCCAAAAGCCTTGTGGGTCATGGCAGAGATCATGAGTTCCTGGGGGTGCGCAGACATGGCCCAGCCGGTGATGAGGATGACGAAGCCCGGGATAAAGTTCCTCTTGGGGCGGCCGAGCCTGTCCTTGCTCAGCCAGATGCCTGCCAGGCCGGCGCACCACCAGACAATGCCCATGGTGGTGTGCTGCCAGTCGTTCTTGACCCAGGCCGTGCCCCACCTGTGCTCGGTGAAGGTGTTGACACAGCCCCAGGCGGCGATGACGACGCTGTCGAAGAACTCCTGGGAGCGGCCGGTGCGCTTGATCCACAGCTGGCCAACCAGCATGGCGATGGTCAGGAGGATACCGTAGGCGATAAAGGCGCTGCCCATGATGAAATGGGCCAGGCACTGGCCCAGGTGGTCGCCCTGGCAGAAACCGAGGGCGGTGATGCCGCCGAACAGCATCTGGGCCCAGGCGACGACAGGAAAGGTCTTGCCATTTATGCTGTGGATAAGGCGGATGACAGGGCGTATGCGCTTATGGATGCCCTTCTCCAGGTGCAGCTTGAGGTAGACGCCGACGATGATCTGGGCGAACATCTGGAGGTAAACCCAGTCGCCGAAATGCGCGTGGACGTTGGTGGGCAGGAACTCGCGGCCGCCGTGCATGTGGCCGAGGGCATATCCGAGGAGGGCGAGGATGGAAGACAGGGCCTGGACAGGAACATGCCACCGACTCTTGGTCATCTGTTTGTTGGGTGATGGGCGCAGTTAGATGACGGTCCGGTGGGTAGAGCAGGCGTCAGGAAAGGGGGGGGGGTGGACTCACGCCTAGCACCATGCCGAGGGGGAACAGCACGCCAAAGGCCAGCATATTGACGAAGATGTGAGCCCATAATGTCGAGTCCTGTACGGGTGAGGCGGGACGGGTCAGCATGCCACGGAGGCGCGGAAGACAGCAGCAGAGGGGGCCAAGGGCTGAGGAGGCAAGGGCTGACGCACGATGGGTTCTGGAGAGGTGGCATCGCCTTCGGGGATGTTCTCGACGCTGTGGTCGTGGGTGAGAGCCATTGGGAGGCAGACGGCGACAAGGGCGAGGTAGACTGTGGTTCGTGTCGGGGCGGATAGCAATCTCGGGGCAGCGCGGGCGACGGAAGCGGGCGACGATAAGGATGGCAGAGGGCACGCTGAAGAGGAAGAAGAAGCCATTGTGGCTGTCGACGAGGTCAAAGCCCCAGGCACTGCGAGGGCGGCGCGCTTGTTTCGCAATGGGGGAAGGGTGCGGTGGTGTTTCGGATGAGTGGAGGGTTCAGGCGCAGGGTCAAATGGGCCGCGTCAGAAGGGCCAGATTTGCTATGGGAAATCTTGAGATGGGATGGGATGGGACGAAGAGTAGACCAGGTGGGGCAGTCTGTGCTGTGGATTTCTCGACGTTGGATTGCACACGCAATGCAGATTACGGAGAACGGAGTATCTAAACAGTAGCCAGAGTAGTTGGCAATGCAGCAATTAGCAAGCAGCAGCAGGAGCGGCAGGAATGCGAGCGGCAGGATCGGCCCCGGGTTGTCGTCCACTCTCCCATCTGCCAGGTCTCCACCCCCGACCGACCATGCCGACTCCCGAGCCTTCCTCGTGCCCTTTTCCGGTCATTTCGCATCTGCCCCGTTTGTCTGCCCCTGACAAGACCACCCGGGCACCCATCAATCAAATAATTAATCAATTCGGTTCTTCTCATGCGGATCAGGAACACACTGGCCAGCCGGACTGCCAGACTGCCAGACTGGCCACAAGTGCTGCAGAGGACAGAACACCGTGACCTTGCCACGACATGGTCCTGCACATGGCCTAGGTACTTAGGTAGGTAGGTAGGTAGGTGTTATCTAGTCAATCATTCCACATTGTGAGTTGGGCTGTTTGTTGTACAGGTGTTCACCCAGCATCCCAAGAACCACAAAAAGTGTGCCATGTTCACACAAAAAGAGAACAGGATCTTTCAAACCGCATTCTGGAATGTCACTGCCCATTACTGGAATCGAACCAGTCACCTCATCATGGCCTTGTCCAAGGACTACTAGTGATGCGCTCTACCGATGAGCTAAACGGGCTTGAGGGCCATTTTTTTGTGGTGTTTATATTGCTGTGCGGGTCTCTCCTCGAGTCGGTGTGCTGCCCTGGTGGGGACCTCGGGATGAATCCACTTTCGGTGCAATGCCGAGCGGCAGACATTACACCAGTGGTTATTCATCGCAACAACAACCTTGCAATCCGGGCACGTCTCATGAGTCGGCGTGGAAAAGTCAAGTCACAGCACAGTCTGGTCCACCACGAGCAAATAGTCTTAAATGGTTGCACATGTGAAAGGTTGATGACAGGTATTAGATTTATACAACGAACCTCCAGTCTCCAGCTGGGCTGGGGTCAAATATGTATCTAGCAGAAGTAGTAGTACTAGCAATTATCCATTATTTTTGAATGCTGTCATGTCAGGCAATCAGCAGGACAGGTCGAACTGTGGTGACAGGGCGCCAAGGTCGCCAGCCCCGTAGATGCCGAAATCAGGGTTGGCTTGTCCCCACTGGCTCTCCTGCAGCATGTACCAGAAGGTGTTGATATTCCTCGACACCAGCCCGCACGCCACCTGCTTCCAGAAGGTGTGCGCGTTCTGGATGTTTGGGACCGCCCCGTTGACCGTGTCGCCGCTGACGGGCCACCCAGTCTCCGTCACCCACACCTCCTTGCCCTGCGACGCCGCCTTGGTCTGGTCGTACGCACTCCAGAACAGGTTGGCCGCATTCTCGATCCTGTTGTCGAAGGCCGCCTGGAAGTACGGGTCTGTTCAAGTCATGATATCGTATGTCAGCCATCTGCAGTTGGGGTCTACAACTTGAGCAGCACAGTTGGATTGCATTGGGAACTCACAGGCGTCCATGCCCACCCAGTCGAGGGCCGCAATCACCTTGCTGTTGCCGCCGTCGAGCCACATGTTCCACGTGTCCACGTGGCCAATGGGCTTGCCCTGCAGCGGCGTGCCGGCGATGGTGCTGCGGACCTGGTTGATGTAGCCCACCAGCTCGTCGGCGCCGATGCCAACCTCGCCGTTCTGCTGCCTGTACAGGTCCTCGCTGCCCACCGAGATGCCCACCACCAGGTCCGTGAAGGCCGTGCCGTACTGGTTGATGGCCGTCTGCAGCGCCTTGATCTCGTTGGGGAAGCTGCCCCCCGACGTCCACAGCCCCAGCAGGAGCTTCGTCTGCGTGTTGATGGCCGCCGGGATCGCCGACACCACATCGCTGGCCGTCCCCCACTGCACCATCGTGTACAGCCTGGCCGCGTTCCACCCGGACTGGTTGGGCAGGTTCTTGGCCCGGTTGAACTCGTACGCGAAGTCAACCTGCTGCTTGGCCGCCTGGTTGTTGAAGAAGGCCCCGTAGTTGAATCCTTGCAAGGCCGCGTTGGCCGTGCCGGCGACGACAGAGAGCCCCGAGAGTACCGTAGACAACTTCATTGTGGCGATTTGTTCCCGAGTCTGTGGAGGTGGAGGGGGTGTGAACGAACGTGAGGACTCCTGCTCCGGATGGGAACCTTGGAATATAAACAAACAGATTCCTCAGCGGCGGGGAGGCTGTCCTTGTTATATATAACCCATGACAACCCCATCTCCGTGTGCAAGTGGATACCACAGCACTTGAGCCCCAGGTGTCACCCACTCTGCTCACTAGGACACGCCGATTCTAAGAATATGGCTTCCAGAACAGTTGGGTGGGCATGCCCTCCGTCCAATGGCCGTCACCCCGAGGGCGGCTTTTTCGTATTTCTGCACCCATGCGCTCCGCCGGGGGAAATCTCGACGTCACCCATCAGGACATTGCCGCTGCCAAGGCATGGCGGCTGTGCAGCCTGTGCTGGCTTGCCCCCCTGGACCCCTGACGCTACCTCGAATACGAGGATGACCTGGTGTGGAGGTCGAGCGACCAGCAGCCCTTTCACCTTTCCCCCGATGACTAAACCCCCAATTCAAGCTTTTTCTTCAACATCAAGTACCGTGATTCCGGGGTAATGTGACGTGGAACGCTGCCCAGGTGCGAGTCAATATTCCAAGGCGGGCTGGAAACTGCTACTCCGTACTTGTCATGATTCCGACCCGGCACCACGCTGCTCTCCCCTATTCTGTGTGCTTACTTGGGCTGGGGTGGTCCTTTTCTTCGAACGGGCGGGCCACTCAGACAGACAACACAGACAACAAGAGTGCTCGGAGGCACCGGTGTCTGAAGCACGAGCCTGGGGCGATGGGGCCCTGGAATCGAGACTTCATGCACAGCTCAAGTGCTTCCCACAGCGTTGTAATACGTGACATTTGCTTGAATTGTAGCACGCCCAGTAATTATCCAGTGTGCACTTTGTGACTTTCGGCATGAGGTTGTGCATGTACGCACTGGCGGGCCCGATGTCGCCATTGGAAGCCCGCAAATTGCATGCGTCATGCACCAACCGCATGAGTTCCCGACCACACGGGTGTGTATACGACGGCTGTTCTAGAATCACCCATCTCACATGCATGCCAAAAAGTGAACCGATCGCTGGGTGAAGAGAATCTACACATGTATGCAGTGCATAGAAATAAGCCCCTAGGTACTAGGCAATCTCGCACAACTTAGTGGAAGAGGTTGATACCTAAGTACTAGTAGGTAACTTCTATCAATTTAAATGTGTTGAGTTATTCTTTACTCAGACTACATATAAGCATCTGCAAGGACATCTACATCTACAAATAGTTGAAGGTGAGCATGCCTAAAGTCATCGTCATAGAAGTCAGGTATTGAGCATTTACCACAGTATGGAGGCGTCACATACAATTTATTTGTATGGGGACCAGGAACGGAACCACTCGAAACCCATCAAGAACATTGAACGCTCCCGGGCCGCATGCCCTGCAAGCTACTATCTACCAGGTCCACAACCCGCTCCGCAAAAGAAGAAATACATGATGTCCTGTAGCTTATGTCCAGGCTGCCTGCCTACATTAGGTACTTGATGGTCTCTAGTCTGTATAGTCTTAAACGTCCCTAAGTTCTAGATAGGTGGTCGACTGGGCAGTAGATACTCCAAGGGAATTTCGCTATCACCTTAGAAATATAACGGCCTCTATCTTATTATCCTTTAAATTACTTTCTTTTTAAGAGTCTATTCTTATTTGTATTTATAACTTCTATTAAACCTTCTTTTAATTTTATAAACTATTAAGTTAATTATTTTTTTATTACAAAGTTTATAAAAGTTAATATTTTAATTTAACTTTAAATTTAAAATCTTTTTATATAAATAAACTATTAAATTAAATTAAATATTTTTTAATTTTAAAGTTAAATTTATTTATAATTATAAAATAATTTAATAATAAAATATTAAAAATATAATTATTTTTATATATAAATAAAATCTTTTTAAATTATAGTTTATTATTTTTAATAAATCTTTATTAATAATTTTTATATATTTAAATTTTAAATATTATTAAAATAATACTTTTTAATTTTATTATTATATTATTAAATTAACTTATATTTATTAAAGAAAAGTTTTAAAAGTATTTTAAATTAAAATTATTTATTTTATTAAGTAATATTAAAATTAAATTAAAATTAAAGTAATTTTAATTAATTTATAACTTTATTATTAACTTTTATTAAAGTAATATTTAAAATTAATTTATTTAATTAAACTTTCTTTACTTTTAATATTTTAATTAATTTATATATAATTAATAAATATTTTTCTTTATTAATTAAATTATTATTTATTTTTATAAATCTTTATATTTAATAATAAATCTAATTTTTTATAACTTTTTAATTTTTATATTAATTTATTAAACTTTTATTTATATTATAAATATTAAAGCTATAAGTTAAATATTTATAAAATTAACTAATAAGTTTATATACTCTACTTATTTTATTAACTTAAATAGCTTTTATATCTCTTATAATATAGTTCAGCTATCTCTTGCTTGATTGTGGATTACAGGGATTAATTGATTGTGTTTTAAACTTTGCTTGTAGATTGAAAACAAACATCAGAGAGCGGGTAAATCTTGACCCCCTAAATATATCCATTGTACAAGCTTCAGCCTCTGACTCTAGAGTTCTTGCTCCAAATATGTGTCGCGTGCAGCATACCTGATCAATTGCCTCCATGTCCCAGGCTTTGCGGATGCGGGAAGCAGTTCGTGCAGGCTCGGATGAGTACAGTTGGCCTCAAAAAGTCTGTACCCACCTAAAATTCTTAAATTTTATTTTTAAATATATTACCTAATAACTAGCCCCACATAACCCTAAAAATAATAAAATAATTCTTATTATATATTTTAACTATTATTATATAAAGTTAATATTTAATATATATATAAATTAAATATTATTATTTAATAAACGTTAAATTAAAAGTAAATATTATTTTTAAACCTACTTTTTTAAAAAATAAATATTTAATTCTTTATAATATATATTATTTTATTGATATTTTTATTTTAATATTTAATTATAAATATTATATATAATAAAAAATCTTTAATTAATATTAAGGTTTTATAATTTTATAAGAGTTTAAAAATAAAAGTCTTATTTTTAAAATTTAAAAATTTAAAAACATGACTCGTTAGGGGCTTTATAGGGAGTCTTAAGCCCTAAACTTTTAAAAGTTATATTTTTAATATTTTTTATAACTTTATAATATATTAATTAATAATAATACAATTATTTAGTATGTAAATATAATAAATTAATATATTTATTTATTTTATATAAAAAGTATTATATTTAAATAAATTTTAGGGGGTGTTTTATAATAGTTTAAAAGTAGTGAGTTTTGGTGGGAAAAGGGTGTGTGGGTACAGACTTTTTGAGGCCAACTGTATGATCATTGTGTCGACCGGTGATGAGCAGGAGAGAATTTTATGCTGACACTCAAATGTCATTTTTCTCTTTCAAAAGTTTTCCCCCCAACATATTGGAGCGCTCACCGATGGGAATCGCACCATCCAGACTTTCAAATATTTCTGATGACTCTCTATTTCATACGTATGTATGTACAGCAGATGAAGACTATACAATGGCGAACAACACCAATGATTCAGTCAGTTTCCTGCTACCCGAATATTTGAGAAGAATGTTTTGATCTGCAACTCCTCCGAGACAGGCTATGTACATGGTATCTCCCCTCTTGCTTTGCTCTCCCTTAGAACCTCGCCAGAGGCAGGTGCGTGGCGGTGGCGCAAGCATTGCCGCTTCGAGCGCACAGCGTGGACACACTGACGAGGGTGACAGTAGACGGCACACAGGCGCTGGCGGCATTGCCCTGGTTGGTGGGCTTGGGAGCGTCCTGGGTAACAGTAGTGGCCTTGCTTATGGTCAGGGTGTACGTCGAGACGATGCCGGCGCTGCCGGTCAGGGTGAGGGTCTGGGTATCCTTGGCGACGACCTCGCTTGCGGTGAAGGTGCTCGTCATGACGCTGGTATCGGACCCAGATCCAACGGTCACGTATACTGTGGATACCTGGGCGTGGGCGGTTGTCTCGGGCGTCTGGACGGCGGCCACGGTGGAGATGGTGGATGTGAGAACCTGGTCGCCGAGGGTGACGGTAAGGATTGTCTCGACGGGTATTTGCGATGTTATAGTCTCATATATGGTCGAAACAATGTTGGAACTGGCGGGCGTGGGCTCCAAAATCGACGTATGGACGCTGGTGGACTCGACGATAGTGCTGCTCTCCTGAGCAATTCCAGAGACTGTGACTGTAACCACGCTTGGGACCTGAACAACGGTGGTGCTCAAAATAGTAGTGTGAACGGTCTGTTGCTCGGGGGTCACAGCAGCCGGGGTTTCAGCGGCAGGGTTCTCGACTACTGATGTAGTAGGGGTCACAGCTAAAACGGTAGTTATAGTCGAGGCCTCCTGGAAAGAGCTCGTTGATGTCCTTTTAAAACCATCACTCAGAGTGATTGTGATGACAGAAACCACTGGCAACACAGACACAATGACAGCGGTAGACGAGGACTCTGCAACAGCTGCAACGGAAGAGGAAGCGGATGCCTCCTCTTGAACTACAGTCGTGATTGTCTGAGGCTGTTCAACAGTTTTGGTGGAAGTACTCTCGACGCCGTCACCAAGGGTCACTGTCACAAACGAAACCGCCGTAGTAGCGGTTGTCAGTACCGACGTCTTGGATACAACGGCAGTCTGAACGCTGGTAGCACCAGGGATGAAGAAAGAAGGGGTGCCGTTGACTGGAAGGGTATCAGCATGGAAGGTTGGCGGGAGATGTTCATGGCTGCGGGGGGGGGGAAGGGGGAGGTATCTCACCAGTAGTGGTCTGTACAGCAGAGCTCATGCTGGCACCGACTTCAGATGACACGGCAGAGGCCTCGGTAACCGGGCACACAGTGGTTGTTTCGCCAACAATGCTGGTCACAATCACTGGTTGAACGGCAGAGCTGCCGTGGGAGGAGACGGCCTCAGCAACTTCCTTGGTGGCGGTGGCTGCTGGGCAGTTTGAGACGGTAGGCGCGCAAGAGATGACGGTGTGAAGCTGATGGGAAGAGGCAAGTCAGCAAGTGCGTCCACACAGGCACATATCGGTGATCAAGGTAGCAAGCAACTCACATGAGTAATCTGGACAGTCAGGGTGGTCTGCTCGCCGACGGGAGTAGGCTCAGGGGCACCACCGGTGATGGCTGCGACAGATGAGAGGGAAGCAAGCTCAGAGGAAGCGAGGGTGCTAGTCAGAACCGTGGTAGAAATAGGGACAATCTCAGTGGCTACAGAGCTTCCAGCAGGGCAGTTGGTGATACTGGCGGCGCACGAGGTCACGGTGTACAGGTTGGTGGCGTATACGGTCGAAGTCACCTCGTGGACAGATGCGATGGACGAGTTGCCGATGGGGAATGGCTTCACTCCGGTGCTGTTGGAAGGAGGCGGGTGAAGAGCGCCGGTGGGAGCTGGAGGTACGCGGGAAGCACCTGTCTCGGGCGAGGAGCTCTCCTGAGGAGGAACAGCCCCACTGGCCGAAGGGGTGTGTGCGTCAGTTGGGAGAGCACCTGGAAGGTCGCGAGTTGCTGTAATGGTTGTACCAGTAATGCCGCCAGTGGCAGCAACAGAAATAATGCTGGATGAGACCAAATCGGCGGCTGTGACGGGGCAGATTGTGGTGGCGAGCTGTACCACATCGGTGACGAGCACCGTAGACACCTGATCGGGGGCCGTGGAGGCGAGGTTGGACAGGGAGGCAGCATCAGCCGGGCAGTTGGTCACCGTCGGGGCACAGCTGATGACGGTGCGGACCTGAGTGGACAGTACGGTGAGAGTTGTGAGCTGCTCCGAGGCCGGCGTGGGGGCGGTGCCGTTGGCGATGGGGGCAACGCCAGTGGGCGAGGGGACGGCTGCGGAGGGAGTAACAGGCACAACTGTGGCGGTTACAGTCTCCTCCACGGGGTCGAGATCCGGGTCACAAGTGTCGTCGTCCAAATCCTCGACCGGGAGGGTGGCGTTTAGGCTTGCTGGGCCAGCAAGAGCAGCCCCGACGGCGACGCGGGAGGAGAGCAGAAGCGAGGCCAAGGCCCGGGAGGATGAGAAACGCATGGTGAATGAGTAAGTTTCTCTCTATTTTTGACTTGGTCTTGTCGAATGGGTCAGTAATGAGAAGTGAACAGCTTGGAGCCCGATCAAGGGCGAGCGAAGGTCTGAAGAACAAGAAGAAAAGAATGAATTGGGTGAGCTAGCACCGGTAGAAAGAATGAACAACCCGCCGGGTTTGTGGGTGAAGCAAAAGAGAAGGTGGAAAGACGACGCTGTCGGCGAAGATGGCAGGGCCGAGACGGCACCTCGAGATGGGCCGGGGGAGGGAGGTGGTGGCCCTTATAGAACCGGCCGGCGGTGGGCATCACGACCAAGAGCCCAAACAAGGAAGGCATCAGGAGGGACGAGTGCCAGCCCGGGAGGCTGCAGCCCACTCGAGCTGGCGCGATATGCAGCCCTAGGCGCCCATGGTCCACGGTCAAGACGGAGCAGAGTGCCGTCCGAGGGTGACGATTGTTTCGAAACACCATGGTGTGCTTGTCGTTGTTGCGGCTGCTTGTTGTGGGTTGTTGTCGTCGAGGCGGACGTACATCCCTGCAGCACATCCTGGCCTGGACGGCTGGCCCCGTCTGCCAGCGTCACGCCGTTGGTCATTAGCCGCCCCCAGCTGGCGGCCCTCGAATTGCGGGATGCAAGGGGTCTGCTGACGTTTCACGATTCGAACAAGTCGCCGTGGCGAGGTTGTGACCACACCTGTAGCATGTTGTCGGTATTTCAGGCTGTGCCTCGCTTCCAGCCTTTGGGGCCTCGTGCCTCGGGGCAGGGTTTCAGGGATAACCCCCGTGTCGCCTTCCCAGGGAATTAAGGGTGCTGCCAAGACCCCGAACCAGCCTTGGAATGTCATTGTTGAGTCGATGGCCCTCGGAGAGAAGCATTAAACCAGACTCTGTCCCCATTTCATCCTTCTCTCTATGCTTCTTGGCCAAGTGTTTCCAGCACTCGTGCCAGAGTCGCAGATAGAGCCATTGAAATGTCGAGGGTTGAGGGGCAGCCCATTACAGTGGAGAACCGTGGCTGAGATGCCAGATGCACTTTACGGCGATGGGATAAAGGGGTCATCGACAGAGAGGGTGGGTTCATCTGGTCCGTGGCTCGTCGAGTCCCACAACGACCATGGTCGTATAACCATGGTTACAACGCATCAGGTAAAACCGTGGGCTCTGTTCGGGCCCGGATAATAACGCCCCCCTTCCCCTAAGCCCAACGACTCTAGCCATCAACATATACAGAGTACAACGCAAATGAGATGGGCATCTACATCAATAACGCCATGTCTGTACGCTTGTCATATCAGCCATTATCACTCACCATTCTCAAGTTGACCTGGCTTACCTGGCTCACCGGCGATGAAGCCAACCGTGCATAAGTTTTGGTCTCGGCTCACCCAGATGCTGGAGAGCCCTTTTCGAGCTTCTTGCCGTTCATTGTTGGGAAGCAATTAGACTTTCTGACAAAAGTGTATCTCAGCACTCAGTGGCCAAATCCTTGTGCCGTGGCACTTTAACAGCACTTGAGTTGCAGCGCCAACCTCCAGGATCTGAGATCGGGAGCAGCCGTGATCTGCGCTGGCCAAGGCTTAATTTGTTGGACCACAATGGAGGCTGCAGAGAAACTACGCAGCCACAGAACCTATCCTGGTTTCGACCCAGCTCACGATTCGGTCGGCTACCATATAAAACTGGCCCCATGCCCACATGTGCTGCGATATGACCTGAGCTTGACGTGTTGATCACTGGACCGGCATGCGAGCCCAGATGAGTCGAGTGCCAAAGATCAGCGCACTAAAACACACAACTCGAGAGAGGTGGGCAGCAGCAACACCCGCGCTTCGAATCAGCACTCATCAAAAATTGGGTTTTGAGGCTCAGGCCGTCTCATGTGAATTTACTTGCAGCATGTCGCCGTGGAAGCTACCCAATTCTTTCTCTCGTGACCCAGCCAACAACACGTCCCTGCTCGGACGTCTTGGGCGAAGAGGAGCTTCTCCCCCCCGAGCTTGACCCGCCGGATAGATCGGAGTTGAATTTCTCTGTCGACGTGATTTCTATTCTTAAAATGAAGGGAGTCGTTGTCCCACTTCTATAGCTGCACCGCAGTGGACCAAACAAGTGGTTTCAGTTTTAATCCCTATACATATAAAATATATATAGCATCTTCATATAATAACAAATACTTAAGACCTAGTATTTAAAGAAATATAATATTAATAATAATAGAAAGAGAATATAATATATAGGTATATAATTAAGCTTTATATTATATAAATAATATTAAAATATATTACTTTTATTAATATTATATTAAAAAGTTTATAAAATAATTATATAATAAAATTAAATAATTTTAAACTAACTTTTATAAGAAAATAAATCTTATAATATAAGACTTAATAAGTTAATCTAGCACTCGACCGGCGACTAAACTAGAAAACACCTGGCACCTTCTCCAGTGGCACTATCAAGTTTTTTGACCATTTTTTTTAACCGCATTGAACACGAAGAGGAAATCAGATGCGAGGCGTTCCTGCGCTTTCTTGACGATGTTCCTCAGTTCAGTAAGATTCATTCACACATATCTATTATAAGACTTAACAGCTAATGATTCACAGAAGATGCACATGATGGTTTCCCGGATCTTGTGTCGTCATGCGAAATGGGTCTATAATAGTCCCAGATAAGCATTTCATCAGACACTACCGGGCCCCACGTGCATCATGAATGGTAGGACGACCTCTTCTTGGCCTGTTGGCGAGCATATTCTCTAAAATCCTTCTAAAAGGTCCCTTAGCGTAGCCACAACCATCCTCATTTCATAGATAGCGACAGTATAATCACCACCTTATTATAAGAGAACGGATATTCGCACCCGCGAAAACGGATAGTACACCCACTATAAAAATAAGTATATAATTTAATTATAAACTTAATTTAAATAAATTATAGCAGTTATAACAGTCCTTTATTGGACTTAATTAGTAGGAAAAGTATTTACCTATATAAACCCTTTAGGTAACCCTTTAATAGTTAGTTATTAATAATTAATTACTTTTAATATTATTTCTTCTACCCTTATATATATAAACCTAATTAATATTAATTAATAATTATAAAAATAATTATAAATAGTTAAATTAATAAAATAATTTATTATTTTATAGTTTAACTACTTAAAAAGTAATTATATTAAAGCTATTAAATTTTATTTAATTTATATAACCTATTTAATATAATTATTTTTAATTAATAAAATAAAGTTATATAATTTATTTAAAAACTAACTTTTTATAAATATCTTAATAATTATTAAATATAAAACTTAAATAACTTTTAAATATTTAATATTTAATTTAATATTATTATTTAAAATTATTTTTATAAATATTTATTATACTTTATATAAATAAAAACTTTATTAAAACTTTAAACTTTTTTATTTACTTTATTATTAAACCTTTTTTATATTTTAATAATATTTTAAACTTTATAAATTAACTTTATTAAATATTAAACTTTTATTTATTTTTAATTAATAAATTCTTTTATATATTTATATATACCTTTAAATTAATATTATAATAAATAATCTTTTATATTTTACTAATAAAATTTATTAATTCTCTAAATTAATTATATTTAACCCTTAAAATAATATAATTTTATTAATATATCTATTTTTTATAATTAACCTCTTATTATTTTAATAATTACTTATAATAGCTTCCTTAAAGATTTATTAAATTTATTATTATAACTAATATTATTATTTATTAAAATATAAAATAAAATATACTTTAAAATAGTCTATATATATAATATTAATTTAAAGTTATAAAATATAAATTTATTAAAAATAAGAAATTTAATATAATATAAATTAATATATATATTATATAGTACTTATAAGTATATAAATACTTTAATATTAAAAGTTATATAAAATATTTATAAAAACTTTAATAAATAAATTAAAAAAATATTTATAATTATTAATAAGAATTTTTTAAAACTAAAAATAATTTTATATATTAAAATATATAAACTAATTTAAAAATTTATTAAAATTTATTTATATTTAACTTTCTTATTAAATTAAAAGAATATTAAAATAGTTTAATAATTAATTTAAAGAGATTTATAAATTAAATAAAGTTTTATTTTATTATAAACTAATTTAAAGAAGAATAATTTTTAAATTTAAAAATAAGATTATTATTATTAAAGATTTAAAAGGAAAAATAAAAATAAAAATAAAAATAACAATAAAAAGGTATTTATAAAAAGTAAAAAGTAGAAATAGAATATATAATAAATATAAAAAATTATTATAATATAAAAATAATAACTTAAATAATAGTTTAAAATCTAATAATAATAAATAAAAAAGGATAGAAAGAATAATAAAAAAGAAAAATAAATATAATAATAAGTTATATTATAAGTTTAATAAAGAAAATAAAGACTTTAAAAGAATCTATTTAATAAATTTTTATTTTTATTTTTATTATTTTTAATTTTAAATTCTTTAAAAATAACTATTTTAAAAATACTTTAAAATATAAGATTTAATAATATATTATATTTTATTATTAATAAAATATTTTAATAAATTATTTAAATTAAATATAATAATTAATATTAATAAATACTATTATAATAATAAAATATATTTTAATTAAATTTATAATATATTTAATAATAAATTTTATTTTTTAATATATATAAAACTTAAATATTTAATTAATATAATTTTATATAACTTTTATATATATTAAAGGATATTATTAAAATATTTTATTTATATAATATTAAGTAAATTAATTTATTTTAAATAATTTACTTTAAGGTAAAACTATATTTTAATAATAATATTATTTATTAAAACTACTTTATTAACTAAAATATATTAACTTTTATTAATTTATATTAAAATAATTTTAATAAATTAAAACTAAAATATTATAATTATTAATTAATAAGTTAAATATATATTATTAAGTTTTAATTATTATAATAATTAATTTATTAAAATAATATTTTATATATAATTAAAAATATATTAAAATTTATTATAATACTTTATAAACCTTTAATATTAATTAAAACTTTATATTTTAACTTATATATTTTATTATAAGTTTATTAATTATAATAATTTATAAATTATATATTTATTATAAATAAAACTAAACTTATAAAAAAAGATTAATATTTTATAAACTAAAATAGAATAATAGTAATTTTTATAATAAATATTATAATAAATTTTATAATAAAAATAACTTTTATAATAATTTTAATAAAACTTTTATAATAATTAAAATATTAGGTTTAGTAATTATAATAATTATAATAACTATAAAAATTATAATAATTATAAAAGTATATTTTTATAAAAAAATTTATTAAAAGAAATACTTTATATATAATAAAAAGAATATTAATTTATATAATATTTTTAATAAATAATAATACTTTTAATTAATATACTTTATAATATAAAAAATAAAATAAAAACTTATAAATATAAACTATATAATATTCTTTATTAACTTTAAAGAATTAAATATAAAAATATTTAACCTAATATTAAATTTAATAATAATTTTAATTAAGTTTATATTTTATATTTAATAAATTAAATATTCTTTTATTTAATTAATTCTTTTATTATAATAATAATTTATAATAAAATATTCTAGTTTTAATATTTA